ATGTTCATAATCTGGATGATCTGTTTGAAGTGCTAGCTCATGAAGAGGAAATTATGATATGTTTAGGATAGTTATATATTTCTTTTTGTTAATGATAAAGGGGTACAATGTTTTCAGAATTTATGTTTTATAGACTCAACAATATGAATTGTAGACTCTAATGTGCTTTTATGTAGGGGGAGTAAGTATATTTATTTATCAAAGTTTTTATTTTTTAAATATACTTACATATGCATAAATTGTTTATCATCATCAAAAAGAGGAAGAATGTTGGATATCATGTCCCCATGATATAATTTTGATGATAATAATTTATTCATAATGTGAATCACTATGTGTGTTATACAAATGCACTAATATTTAAATGTAGTTTTCAACATCAAATATGAACAAGTGCAAGATGAGTTCAAGGCATTATGAAGTAAAGAAGATGAACAAATATATTAATATAATTTTTACATTTTTCTTTACTTAGAAATATTGTACAAGCCTTGATCACTCTCACACACACATAGAAATTAGAATACACTAACACAAGCTTAGTGTGTTGGTTAACAATAAAAATCCCCTATGTTAACCATTAGAGTATTTAGTTGATCATTGAGTCTAAAAATATTTCATACAATATTTTTTACCCTTAGTAGTCGACTAATTAGAATAATAGTCGACTATTGTAGTCTAAGTTCAAGATACAATATTTTTTACCCTTAGTAGTCGACTAATTAGAATAATAGTCGACTATTGTAGTCTAAGTTCAAGATATAAGTTTCTGTAAAACTACAGAGTAGTCGACTACTAAGAATTATAGTCAACTACTTAGTTTTGAATTTTGATTTACAGAACTTCAGTTTTACAGAGTAGTCGGCTACAAGTAAATATAGTCGACTACTGAGCTTTGAAAATTGTTTTATAGAACGTTTATTTTACAGTGTAGCCGACTACTAACAATTATAGTCGACTACTGATATTTGATTTTTGTTTTCCAGACTTTCTGTAATACAGAGTAGTCGACTACTAAGTTTCTGTTTCTAAATTCCAGACTTTCTATATTACAGAGTAGTCGACTACTATGCATTATAGTCGATTACTAATGTAGTTTTTCTGAACGTTAATGTTTGAATCATTGACAGTTTATAACCGTTTTTAAACGTTTTTAAAGTTTAAAAACTTGTCTTTTCAAGGGCTATAAAAAGGTTATATGTTCAGAAAAATGATACATGATTATATACCCATAAGCTTCATTCTTTGTATATTTTTCAAAAGTCAAAAATTTTAGATTTCAGAAAGTTTTGAGAAAAAGATCTTTACTGAAATTGCCTTTAATCATCATTCGAAATACATATTATTTAGGCAATTTCCAGAGGTTAAAATTATTCCTAAGCCACTGCTACACAACACTTCATAAAATTATTCCTAAGCCACTGCTACACAACACTTCAAATCAAGGCTTATAGGAATTGAGTTGTTTAATTCAAGGAAAGTTCTCTCGGTTTGAGAGAGGTTGATCTCTTGGTCTAGAGATCAGTGTGCAATTGGCAAGGGACTGTCAATTGGTGTTGTAATTTGCAGGGACTTGTAAATTGGTCAAGTTTGATTTTAATTTTGTACTTAATTTAAAATTATAGTGAAAATCTCAAACGGGATTTGCTTGGGGACTGGATGTACACCAGATTGGTGGATCCATTATAAAAACTCTTGTTTGTGATTGTGAATTTTTGAGATTGTTGTCATTCTTTCTTTACAATTTATAATCTACTTTGCATAATTTTTAAAAGAACACTATTCACCCCCTCTAGTGTTCTAGTGTATCTTTTTCAGATCCTACAGCGTCGACCAACATGCGCCTTGTGCCTAGCATTTACTTTCTCACCTTATTATTTAACCTCATCAACAAGGAGTTCTTCTGAGTCAAACAAATGCAAAAGATCTCGTAATTTAGAAGAAATATTGATAGGGCTAGAACCTCCACAATCTTCTTCTCCTTGCTACAATTTGCTCTTACTGCAGTATGAAACATGGCTTCTAGTGCTTGGTTTGTAGAGAATGACTTGTTACATATATTGCAAACATGAGCCTTTTTATCACCAGTTTAATTTGTTTCTAACTATATTCCCTTACCCTTTATTTCCACATTGGAAGGGCTACTCGACTTCTTGAGTAAGGCTACAACATACTCAGCCTAGGCCTTAACATCAATATGATATTCATTGTTTTACTTCTTTTAGTAGATATTTCCCACATCAACTCATTACTACTATCAATCATTTTCCTCTTAACTTCTTCCGTTGAATGTGTTCTCATGTGTCTACGAAAAGCTTCCAATCAGCTCATTAGTACTATCAAACGCTTTTCTCTTAACTTCTTCCATTGAATGTGCTCTCATGTGTCTACAAAAAGCTTCATAAGATTGGAAGGGCCTCACACTGATTTCGCAAGTGTGCATGTATTGGCTCACGATCATGGCGTTATCTTGCAAACCGACCTCTTATGCGTTCTCAATTGTGTTGCTTGTTGTTGCTTCAATACCCTTTACATCTCGAAACTCTTGATCAGGGATAGATTGAGTTTGATTAGTCCCATTACAACCTTAATTCGAGTAATTTGGGTAAGAACTCTTTGACAACATGATATCATCCACAATAAGTTTGAAAATATCATGCACAATAGTCTTTGCTAATCAATCACGATTGTCACTTGGAATCTCAGTCAATGAGGATTTGATCCTCAAGAGGAATCTCGTTGGCAGTTAAATCTTCCTTTTCAGCAACAAACAAGGCATAAAATACTTCTGCATTGTGAGCTTCTAATTGTCCACTATTAAGAACACCTTTTTAGTGGTATTTGTCTTTGATGGCTCCTGTATTCGACATAAAGAATGTAGTCTTCTTTGCTGTTACTTTGGCGCTCTCCACAACTACGTTGTCTTGCCCAAGGGTGAATTGTGATCGCTTAATCTCTCTATGATCATAGTTAGAGTTGGAACTCGGATATCGATTGAACACATAATAATATGCAAGAAGCAAACGAGCTTTCAACAATTCTTTCATCTTCGCCCATAATTGGATTTTATACTTCTGTTGATAGACTCGATCCATACATAATGACACCCACCAAAATTGTTTTGTCCTTTTAAGTCAGTAAGGTACTCGCTTAACGTTTTGTTCTTAGATCCCTAAAAACTCGAAGATTCACTCCACTTCATCAATCCAATCAAGAAAATCTTAACATTTGAGTTTCCAGTTGAAGGACGGAAGATCAACCTTCCTGATGAATCCTCCAATATCATAGATATCCCATCGATAGTCTCAAGACTCTCAATGACCACAATTTTAACACAAGATTTCATACTCATCTCCATTGAATTCATCTTGCAAAGTCGGACCTCGTCCTTCGCTACCATCACAACCAACACAACCAACACAATATCGATCTCGTCCTGAGCCCAAGTGCCTCACCAGTCACCACCAACACAAGTCAACCGACGGAAACCTTCAGATTTGGTTGAAATTCTTACAACTCCGCTCGGGTAATAGGAACCTCATCGTCTACCATTAGATCGTAAAATTAAGGTTCTGATAACAATTAACACAATATGAAAGTTAAAACCTCAGAATCCATCAAAGGGGTGCTCTTTGAATATATGAAGAATCTAGAAAAAAAATTTGAATCCACGAAGATAATAATATATGAGCAATTTTATTGATAAAAAGTGATAAGAACCATCAGGCTTACAATCCTTCTTCCTAAATAGAAAAACTAGGTCTCTTCCCAATATGAATAAAATTCTTGCAAGTTCTTCAAAACTAACTAAAAGACTCTATAATAGAGAAAACAAATCAGTCCAACATGAATCAAAATTGAATTTATTTCCTATCCTAAATTAACTGCAACTTTATTACTAAAAATAAACAAATTGCTAATTATTTTTGGATTTCAGCTAAAAACGAGTACAGTTGATGAAGTTTTAGGAATCTACCAATCCGGTTCGCTCCATCTCGTCAAGATAAGCAATTGACATATATAATATGTCTAAATCCACCTTCCGGATTGAGAATCCACCTTCCGGATTGAGAGATATGATCGTTTTATTACAGGGAAGTCAACAATGCATCCGCATCCGTGCTTGGCTCGTGACGATCGTACTACTCCATGAATTTATTCTTTATGCATCCTACATCACTAACTAGAATGAAACTTGAAGAACCAGAAAAAAACTGTAACAAGCTGGCCTCCAACTGAAAACAAAAACCTTTAGTCATCATGTCTCTTTATGCATGAGACATCCCTTCAACATAGATCAACCACAGCCTGAAAGCAGGTCCTTTGCGCCTAAATTGGATAAGTAACTTTATTATAAGATCATTCTGAATCTCTCACTATACCTATAGTTCTGTTCATTAAATGTAACAAGTTTATACTCACATTGTATTCATTTTCAGAACTTTATGCTAATGACTGTTAGGAGAGGATGAGCTTTCCCAGAAGATAATTGTGATGCTATAAACTTAATAGTGTCTATTAAGTTATTAACTATATAAACAATCTAAGTGATGTGATCTGAGAAGTTCTATAAAACAACATGCAGAGGCTACAATTAGATGGGCTTGTGTCTTGTGAGAATAATAATCAAGAACCTGATTTCACCAAAAACATAAAATTGGTTTACATCAATATAACTATGTGAGAATGGGTGTCATCAAAGGTGTACAATATCCATAAAAAAATTCTTAATTATAAAACATATCTCAAAATATGAAAATGAAACAATATAAGATGACATCTCAATATCAGAAAGAAGCAATCGCCAATCGGCTTTCATGTAATTTACCGTAGAAGTGATAATGGTTAAATCATGTACGCATCTATACGAGGGTAACCTTAAGAAAATTTTACTAGAATCTCAATCAAATCTACTATTGGCAGAGTAGGAATTATAAGTGTAAGTGAAGTAATCCAAACTGAAAGTTATCCAACTAAAGAAAAAGGCAAACATAGATTACCAGCATAGTAGCGACTCTTCAGTTCCTCAACACTTCGAGCTGATGGAAACCTGTCGGCTATTACTACAAAGCGAAGATCAAATCTTTCACACAAATCAAACAACTGATCTGTTTCCTCCTTGGTCCACCCCTAGAAGATATATATAAGAAAATACACAGCAACACTGTTTGAAAATTCAATTTCTACTTAATGAAAAATTAACTTCATAGAGTTACAAGGGTAAGATTTCCAAAAACATATAAAGACAGGAAGGACCACAAAATTAAAGCAACGCTAAGCTACAATAATGTAGAACAGAAATTCTAGAAAGGAAATCATGATGAAATACATCCTAAGCTAAATGTGCAAATCAAACTCTTAGTAGTTACACCAAGAGAAGCTCAAAAAAAATTACATAAGGCAAGATTTTGGAAATAGTATCACTTATTATTAACATTAAGTATCTATCAGTTAAGAAGACCAGGACTAAAGTGTGGAAAGCATTTTATGAAAGATATCCAATATCATTCCGGTGAACATTATAAATCAACTCCAAGTAGATTTAACTTAAGTAGCGGCTTCAAATATTTATTGCCTTGCAGGAGCCATGCAGACATTCGAGGATGTTGATTTGTTGACATTTAAGACCCGCATTCTGCTTATGCAAACAACTTTGAGTACTTCCTTCTATAAGGAAGCAGCGGTCACATTCTCTATACAATCTTTGGTTGCTAGAAGCCTTGTCGACATTCAAAGACTTCGGTTCATTTTCATGTTGCAGACTAACATTCCTCTAACTCAATGACCTCTCAGGTATTTCCTTCGATAAGGAAGCATAAAACACACGCTTCGAAATTCAAACATCCAGAGTGATTCAAAAAATTGTGAAAAGAGACACTTCGACTTCCAAGTTCATCATAAAAGTTCTTCATTCCCATCTAGAAGAGCCTTTTGCAATTAAATAACAGGATAGCCCTTTGACGCATGCCTTGTTCACCATAATGGCCTATACCTATTTTTGAACAGCTGTCATTTTCTTTTTCATATATATGCCGTGAAAAGTAATTAATTTAAATTTTATGGACCTTCAAAGTTTCCTCCTTTAGGTCCTTATGAGATGAGGCAGTCAAAATAATTTACAACCAATCTTACTTCTTACGTATCTGGGCTGGCTACTAAGTTAGTATAGGCCCTTTGAGGTTTTCCCGTATGGAGTTGACACTGAAACATCACCCCAAATCTAATAACATGGTAATTTTTGGGCTTTCTCATTTAATTGTAATTGACCATGAACCATTATGGTAGCTCAAAGTTTATAAAGCCATCAGCATCAGTAGTTATTTGTATGCTTGCCATGTCCTCCTGATTATTGAATATCCCATTTAGTGACTGCCAAAGCCTTGAAAGCTATGTGTTTAATTAATTTACCTAAAGAAATGGCACGGCGCTATTTAACCAAAATGTTACCTGCTGTAAAAATTTACATATAATGAGAACATCAGTAACAATTAGATAGAGTGTACATGGAATATATATAGTAAAATACACTCAATGTTTCGTCTTAACAAGTGCCTTAGTAGTTAATGTAAATTGCAAATGAATCAAAAGAATAAACAAAATATGTTCTAGAAGGGGCTGGAGATCTTATTTTAACAAGTGGCGTAGTTCATGAAAATTGCATACTAATCAATACACACGGCAGGCATCAACTAGTTACCATCTCTTTTGGCTTTTGGACTCTTCATAAAGCAGTTCAACAAACAAACTAACTCAAAACTTAAGAAAATAATCGAGATAGTATAAATCCACCAGTCAAATAATTTTGAAAATAAAAATTTCTCGCGTGACTTAAGAAGTATATGAGTTATGAAATACATTAAAATTAAGAAACTATGCAAATTTGAAGTACCTAGTACCTACAGGATCAATTAAATGCTTATCATATTCCTCATCGGTGTATTTAAGAACGTCCACCTTCTGCATTCACATAAATGTGAGAAAATTAGCAACAAAAACCGGTCCTAATAATCAACAATCTTGAGTATATTGCGCACAAGTCGCTTACCTTGTTGTACTTAGCAAACAAATAATCACCTGTTGGAGGAACACCATTTACAACTCTCACCTAATAAATATAACATCAAGAAAAAGAAAGATATTACAAAGTTAACACAGAAAAGGGTTCATTGCACTTAAATACCCAAAATTTTCATGGTTTTTAACTTCGATGCCCTAAAGTTCAAATGTGCCCAAAAAATACCCTACTACTTCGCTACTTTTAAATTTAATACCTCACATTACATCACCATTCAAAATTTTATTAAAACTCATCATGTGATCAGCATATGATAATATTTGGACATTTATACCCCTACACTGAAAAGAAATCCCCCAAACCCCTTTCTTCTTCCTTCCGCTATTTAACCCTAAACCTGCTGAAATTAAAGCATTAATTCATTTCTTCACTTTCACAAACACAAAAGACTTAAATTTAACATTAAATTGTAGCAAAAAACACCCCCATTAAACAATATAAGCAGCTAAAATATAATTCTGAATGGTGATCAAATGGAGAGTACTAATGTTCTGGCAAACTCTGCGGTATATTTTGGACACATTTTAAAATTCAAAAAAAGTTTATGGTATTAAACTGCAATTAGCCCAAAAAAATGACACAAGTGTAGTTGCATACCCAATGATAAAGCTGCAAATTGTCAGTCCGAGCTGATGAGCTAAAAGGAAGCCATTGCCATGTGATCTGCATAAAGTTATAAAATGTTTAGCAATGAAATCATCGAAACCCTAGAATGTTAAATTTTGGACCTTTTCTTTGTTATCGGGGTTCTGAACACGGCGCTTGAAGTGAGAGATGTCGACAGTGGGCATTAAAGGAGGAAGATTGCCGCCGGTGAGGGCGTAGACCTCTCGAGAGACGCCATCGGGCTTCCTCTGTGATTCCTTCGGAGCTCGAGGCTTCTTCTCTTGGGACGAAGGGAACGAGTTCTTTGGGAGCCCTAGGATGTCCTTAGCATCCATTGACTGTTTGATTTTCTAGGCTTAGGGTTTGTACTGCGACATGGAAATTTTTGGGAAGTCGAAGGAGGGTGGAGACGAGCTTCATAAACGAACGGGTCGGGTCGGGTGAGCTTGAAAGTCAAGTTGTGAACCCATTATAGAGTAGCGCCCACATCTACTCCTCTGGGGCTGTTTGGTTGGTTTCCTAAAAACTAAGAAAAGGAAATCGGTACAAGGAAATCAATAAAATAATATTTTTATCCATTTTCATCCCTAAAACTCACCCACAACATCTAATAAAATATTATTTTTATCCTCCAACTCATCTCATTTCATCTTGTAATGACCGTAAATTTCTAATACGGGTTTAAATAATTTTCTGGTATTTAAATATTAAATATTATTTTTCTAAAAGAGTATTTGTAATTTTCCCCATTTCTCTAGAATTTTCTATGATTTAAAAATACGATATTATGTTATTTTAATAAGTTTTGCTAATTATAAATTTAATTGTTTTGGTAAAATTTTTAAATAAATAGTTAATTATTCATCATTGTTATTGTTATTATTATTTTGACCATAAATTTTAATATTTATTTTAAATAAATTATTTAAAGGGGTATTTTTCCCTGTGTTTTTCCTCTCACCGGTGTTCACTCTGTATACCCCTCCGCCTCGTGTTTTCTCCCAGCTCTCAACCCACGTCCTCCCAACCACCCTATCCCACGCTCTCTCTCTCATTAATTTCTTCCGCCGTTCTTCTCTCTCTCCAATCCCACCCTCAATCTATCTCTCTCTCTGACACTCTCTCTCTCTCTAATCCAGCAAAATTTCTCGCACTCAACCAATCACTCAATCAGTCACTCTCTCTCTCTTCTTTATTATATTTTCTTCATCTCTCTCTCTCTCTTTCGTTCTCTCCTTCTCTCTTCAAACGATCCGAGCCCCAGCTGACCCGCTCCTCACGAAGTCCGCCTGCCAAGCCTCGCGCGCCTGCGCCGATCAATCCGCACGCTTGCCGCTGGCTCCAGGCACGCGCGCTCCCGCCTGCCGACCCGAACGCTGAACTCCTCCTGCACCGCCCAACAGCTGCGCGCACCTCCTCCATCGGTCGCCTAGAACTCGCCTCGAACCACCGGCCACCAGGCCACGCAGCAAGCCGGCTGGGCAGCCCGCCAGTCGCCCTGCTCCACCACCACGCTTCCGGCCTCCCCTCTTCGAACGCCGACCAAGCCACCCGACCGGCGAGGCGTGCCTCCTCCTGACCGCCGGTGCCGCAGAGCCATGCAAACGGCCCTGCCTGGCACCTGAGTTGCCGAACGTCTGCCCTGTCCTTCGCGCAACCGGCACGCGCTCGGCAAGCAACCCGGACCGCCACGTGCGACTCAGCCGAGCTCCGCCCTCGAGCTCCGACGATCGAACGCCATGACCCTCAGGCCCGAGGCATCCTTGCTGTCGTCGCTCAGGGCAGATCCGGCGCCCAAACCGCCCTCTCCGCGCTCTCTCCGCCGCTGCCCCTCGACGGCGCCGCCAACCCCCTCTGCTCCGCCAGTGCCACCACCCGGAGCTCCGCCGCTGCTCTCCAGCGCCTCCCCGAGCTCCTCCATCGCTGTCGAGCTCACCGCCAACCAGCGCCTCCATCGCACGCCACGTGTTCGACGAAATGCCAACGCAGAGCCAGTTGCAGAATCGCACACCAACAGCCCCCGTCGACCCCCGTTGAGCCCTCAGTGATGACAACCACCGTCGTTGCCGTCCCCTACAACCGCGTCGTTCAGATCCGTCATGACTCGACCGTTCAGATCCGTCGTACCGCGTCCGCATCGGCCCCGCCGTTCGTCATCAGACCCCTTGGTCTCGCAGGCAAGATCCCTTGCTCATCTTGTATTTTATCAAGTATTTTTAGACTGATATAATTATCTGCGTGGGCTTGTTGATGAAGTTATGAATTTCTGCATATTTTAGTTTGTGATATAGTTATCTGTGTGGGATTGTTTGGTGAATAATATTAAGTAAATCATAATATTATGATAAATAGCATTTCAGAATAATTATAATGAATTAAAAGAATTTATTTCTGTAGCAGAATCATTTTCGGATAATTATATTACTTAAAAAGAATTTATTTGAGAAGAAAATTATTTTAGGAAAATTATAATAATTTAAAGGGAATTATCTTGGAAAAAAAAGAATCTTTTTAGAATAATTATAAATAAATTAAAGGAATTTATTTTGGAAAGGGAATTATTTTAGATTAATTATAATTGGAAAAGAAATTATTTTGCAAGAGGAAATATTAAAAAGAATATTTAAAGAATGTTTTTAGAATTATTTAAAAGGAGTTATTTTGGAAAATAGAATTATTTTTGGGCAATTATAACAAGAAATAAAGGATTTATTTTGGATAAGGAAATCATTTTGAAGTAAATAAATTTATTAATTTAAAGGATTATTTTTGAAGGTGTGATTCTCATTTTAATTATGTGATATGCCATGATATCGTTGCGCATGATTGGTTGTACTTATTGTTTCCTATTGTGTTTGAGAACCCCTAGCAGTTCATGACTTAGTGGCCTCGTGCGTCATGAACAGACTTAGTGACATGTGTGAGTGTGTTGACTGAGTTTAGGTGGTGAACCCGAGTTTCAATGAGGATTATGGTTGATTTAGAAAATACAAGAGAGTTGGGATGGGGAAGTTAATGTTCATGTGATCGGATAAGGCTGTTGATGTATCTTCCAGGCCCCCCATGATCCAGTGTAGCTTGGGGTTGGTTTGTTGGGTCAAAGTGGAGCCGGTGTAGCCACTTTGGTCCGTGAGCTTGATATTCACCTGATTCTTGCTTGAGTTCGAACAAGGCCGGAATCGGATTACGTGTAGCCCTCTGACCGATCCAGTGTAGCGGTGTATTGGGTGCACATAGAGGATTTGTGAACAGTCAGTTATCCGATGATATGAGTGTTGACACTATGTGAGATGTGGACCAGTGAGTTGAGATAGTATGACTAGTTACATGACCTCGATTCTTAGCTAAGTATGATTCTTGTGAGATGTAGGCCAGTTGTGTTTCTTTTCATACATAGATCGGGGTTAATATTTAATTATTTACAATTTGAGACATATGGTATATACATGAGGGTTTCCTTGTTTGGATTATTTCGCTCGACGTACTACGTCTCGAGTTGTAGATTTTTAAGTATTAATTCCATCTAGTTGTATGACCTTGTGACTTGGATGATTATTCTGATCGCTAGCTGCATGATCTCTTTACCTGATCGATTTTGGATGCTAGTGAATTTGTATGTTGATTTTTGTTGGATTACCAGTTGCACGTTCTTTTGTTGTTTCGGTTATCATATCGTTTTTCGCATTGGATTTCCGTTCGTTCTATTTTCTTTGTGGGGTCGGGTCTTGCCGTGCGCCATGCACCTGACGTACACCTGTTTTCTCTGGTGTACGTCAGACTTAGGAGAAGAACAGAGGTGCTAGAGGATTCTCAGCATGAGTGTCTTGCAGACGTAGCAGAAGAAGAAGCCGAAGCTTAGTCATTCCTTTCAGTTTGTTTTGTAGCACCTTCATTTCCTTTTGATCAGTGTATTTTTATATTTTCCAGTATTTCATTCAGATAGTTTTTGTATAAGGGCATGTTTGACCCGAATATTATGTCTTGGATGATATTCATTTGTGATATGTATTATTTTATTCTGAGTTTGTCTATTATATTCTTGCTGATTGTGATCGGGGACCTGTGACTTCGCATTGTATTTATTTCCAGACGCTTAGCGTATTGGATTGAGAAGAAAAAAATAATAATGTATATTTCTTCTCAATCTAATACGTCGCGGGCTTGTTCACGTTCCGATTCCCGGGTATTTTGGGAAGCGGGGCGTGACACATCTCCTTTCTTACGTTTAAAAATAAACCAAACACAAGAAATGTGTCACATCATCCAACTCATCACATCTCATTTTATCTCATTTTTAAAAATCACACATATCATCCAATAATATTGTGACAACTCATCTCATCTCATTAAACATTCTTTTCCATCCATTTCCTCAAAAAAAAACAAGAAATCAATTTCCTTAAGTACGTGTCACATCATCCAATAATATACCTCCAACTCATCTCATCTCATCTATTTTCTTATTTTTAAAAACGAACCAAACACAAACAACCTCAAAACATCATCCAATAATATACCTCCAATTCATTTCCTTATTTTTTTAACCAACCAAACAATCTCAAAACAAGTTTTTTTAAAAATCACTCACATCATCCAATAATAAGGTGACAACTCATCTCATCTCATCTCCTATTCTATAATTTCCTTCTTTTTTAAGCCAACCAAACAACTTCAAAATAATTATAATAGGAAATAGGTTTCCTATTTTTTGATTTCCCACTTTTTTTTGCCAAACAAAAAGCCCCTGCACGTAAATAAGAGTCCAAATAATTACTATTTATGCTACAGTGTTTATACTATAGTAAATATTATAGTAAATAGTATATCATGAACAGTGAATCAAATCTGGTCTACTCACTCGAAATGTTGTTCATTTTATACTATTTTACTTGTAGCATAAACAGTAAATCAAATCTGCTCCTTCATGCTTAAAGGTACGATTTATGCTGCAGTGTTTTATTGTATCGTAAACAGTAAAACAAATGAAATGTATTAAAACTTGGATTCTTCTTTACGTATAGAGGAGTATATATGATTTCTAAATTAAATGTAGTAAAACTTGAATTCTTCTTTAAGTATAGAGGAGTATATATGATTTCTAATTTTAAGAATACAATAATTAAATCAAATGTATTAAAATTTAGAAAAAAACAAGTTTTTAAAATACAGTGCTTAAAAAAATAGGGGGTCTTGCTTTGCATGGGGTGCACACTAGTGCACTATAATAGAAAAATGTGTAAAGTAGTAATAGCGAGCCCTTTTTCCCCGAAAAAATGATGTGGACTTTTAGATTTCGAACCCAACATACTTTTATTGTCAAAACCAAAGAACATCGAAATAGGAGGGGGGAGTTCTTATTCATAGCACTATTTTTTTTATTTAGTAGAAAATAGGGCAAGGTGCCCTATTCAAAATATATTGAAGAAACACTTATGTA